TTAATTGTTTACTTTACTATAACTTCCTACTAATATGGAATCACGTATTTTTTTTAATATTATATATTTAATCGTCATCCCTATAAGAAATAGATATTTTTAGTTATTTTAACATGGTTTTCTGTATATACTATAGGCTATGCTTGGCTCTTCAGTCCTGTAGATGGCAGCTGTTATAACTGATTTTGAAAAGTGCCTTCAACGTTTACTGTTTTTTAAGAAAAACATGTTTTATATAGGTTTTTATTTAAACATTTTTGTTACATATTTAACTATATATCATGTAAATAAATTTGTTTTAAAGATATGTAAACGTATAACTTGCTTTTTTTACCAATTTTTCAAAAAGTGAACACAAGTTTAAATATACATATAAATATTTTTACAACTGTTTTATATGGTTTTAAAATCTGTTTTAAAACCTTTTTAGCTCATTAGGGATCGTCCATAAAATACTCTGGGGTAGAGGGGGTCTGCAAATGGCGATTATGGGATGGAAGGGCTGTGGGTAAATTATATAAAAAAAGGAGACACTAAATTAAAAAAAAAATCATAAAATTTTGGGTAGTTAGGTTAAAAGTTTGTATTCACGTAAGTTAAGTAAGTCACCTAAGTTAATTCAGCTAAGTTAAAAATTTGTATTTGCGTAAAGCGTAACAATTACTTCAAAAATGTCGATTAAAAGCAATTGTTTTTTCATCAATCATTAAGATATATTTCACTTGACCTATACAAAATATAATAAAAAGGTAAGACAAACTCAAAGCGAAATATATTTCCAACTTTCGCTAAATATTTACTGCGTTAGTATAAATTTGGATAATATGAATGCTGAAATAAATATATGTTGATATACGTTAACTATGAAGTAAATAGATATATTCGATTACCGTATTTTGAAAGCTAAAGTAATAAGTATTAATATTACGGGAGCCGTATACAGTGATTAGTTTTTTCCGTTTTCTGATATACTTTTTAAGTTATAATCTTTCCGGATATCCAAAACAATTTTTATACGTTAAATTGTAGGTATAATTTTGTGATATTTGTTTTTTAAGCTTTTCACTCATCACTTTTATAAAATTTAAAAAAAATTCTCTTTTGTAAAAAGGAATTATAAACAACTTAGTTACCTAAACATTTTTCCGGAATTTTAAAATAAGACATGGATCATTTTCTATGCATATAATTAAAGTTATAATATATTTAGTTTGTTGTGATTAGCGCAAAATGTTCGAGCATTTCGAAATAAATGGTTATTTGTATCTTTAAATAAAAATAAAGCTATGCTAGGAATTGAGTTATGCTAAGAAGCCGACAACAATAAAAGTGAGCAGAACTAAAAATATATAAAATAAGTTTATACTTCATTAGAGAGAATAATAAATTGATATTAATAACCCGTATTATTAATAATTTATTTTCTAACAACCCGTATTACGGGTTGCTTACTGCTAGTATTCTATATTTGTATTAAAAATTTATTTGGATCACAGTTTTACGTAATAAAGTTTGAAATTAAACAAATATAACACTTTGAATTTTCAAATTAAAATCTTAAAAATTTAAATAATCCTCAAGTGGCGTATAGTTTACAGTACACGGAATTGAGGCAATTGTGACAACCAACCCCATATATTTTGTGGCAAGCCACCCCTTTCTATGTAAGTAGCTAGACACCTGTAAATTTAGCTAAACACGTGCAAATTTCATGAGAATTTTTTGTAGATTAAGTTACTCAAATCAATAAAAAACTTAAAAGACAAACATTCAAAACACAATAAAATACATTTCGATTTGTAAAAGAAAATTTCTAAGTGGGCGAAATATTACTTTTTCATGTCAAAAACCTATAAAAACGAATAACTTTTCTTCTACACACTAGAAAAAGATGAAAATTACTGTGAAAATGTTTTTTTTATATAACATTTCCATTGTATGATTTTAAAGTTCTAAATGCTATCTACATTTTCTGTAATAAACTTTGTGACAACCAACCCGCGTGACAACCGACCTCGCTCTCCCCTGTATATATATATACATATATATATATATATATATATATATACATATATATATATATATATATATATATATATATGTATATGTATTTATATATATATATATATATATATATATATATATATATATATATATATATATATATATATATATATATATATATATATATATGTATATACATATATATATATATATATATATATATATATATATATATATATATATATATATATATATATATATATATATATATATATATATAAATATATATATATATATATATATATATATATATATATATATATATATATATGTATATATATATATACATATATATATATATATATATATATATATATGTATGTATATATATATATATATATATATATATAAACTTACACACACAATTTATCACATATAATTTTTAAAATTATAATTACAATTGAAAATAAAAAATTTAAAAAAAAAAACAGTGATGGTGCATTGCTTTTGTTGTTTGTTCACTGAAAATTCCCAAAGCATTATTTTTTTTAAATGAAGTCTTTCACATGAAAAAATATTGCATGCACTTATGGAGTCACGCTTCCAGATGGCATTGCCATATATGCTTTTTTGAATAAGTCAATTTTTCTAGAGAAATCAGATGATAATGTAGACCCAAAGCAAGCACTGACCACTGCTTCAATTTTCCGGAAAGTGTGGATAAAGGGACAAATATAAGTTGAGTACGTTTTCTCTGCAAGATTTTGCAACAAATCCAGGTTCTTCAGAAGCTTGTGACAATCATTTTCAGCAAATTGTCCTCCGAGGAAAGGTTGTTTTATGTGAAAAGCATCTAGCCACTTTTCAGCATGCGGCCACATTGACTTCAAGATTTTGAAGAGGTGATTGACAATTCCAAGCAGCAGATGCAATTCCATAGGTAGAATTAGATCCAAAACCAATAGCTCATCATCCAAAGCAAGTAATGGAGGATGAACCACATTTTCGAATTCTTTTGCCTTTTTGATGTCACGTCCTGCAGCATCAAAAGCTTGACAGGATGATTTAGAGACCCAAGTTTGTAGTTAAGTTTTTTTGCATGGAGGAGGATCATCTTCACAAGGCATTTTCTCAATAGCTCCCAGTGTGACTTTTAGAAACCCACCACCACCATCAATGCCAAGTTTGATTAATGGCTTGGTGAAGATTTTTTGCAACAAATCAACTTTATTTATCAGTTCTTGCAGATCTTTACAGTGAACTACAAGTTTCTTGCCAATAACTCCATCGCCTTGTTCAGATTCCCACCACGTCCCTCGCAGTACTGCGCTCAACT